GAGATATTGCACCTAAATATTCTGCCTTTCAGAAAAAAGCAGAACAAACTTTTGACGAGCAGTGTTGGAAGCCAAGGAAGCTAGCTGACAACACAACGATCTGGACGCACGATTGGTCTCGACCACTTCGGTCCCGTGCAAACTAAACTGAACTAAACTGAACCGAGATAGAGGTAAAACGAGTGGCATATTGGTGATGAACTTAAAGAGTAAAAAAAACAAATATTGACCAAAGTTCTATGATAAGCGCCAGTGATAAGAAATTGAACAGTTCGTCTCAGTAAGCGGAGAAAGGGAGGATCGCAAAATACAATAAGCAAATAGACGTATAATTTCCTGGATTCAACCAATTACATGCTCACCACCAGGAACACTGTCCAGGACCCCTTCTAAAAAGCAGATATTTCTGACCTCTCTTTTCTGAACGATCCACTAGTCGTTTTTACCTCCACTTCTCTCACCATTTCATCTTCGCTTTTTCTGGTTTGTTGTATAAGACCAAAAGGCCATTGTATCCTGGGTTTGTTTTTCTTTACCATCATCACTTTATCTCCCAGTTGAAAGTCCCTCTGTCTTGTATACCACCTCGATCTGATTTGAAGTAATGAAAATTATTCCCTCGTCCATCGCTTCCAGAAGCACTTTGCAATATCCTGCACTTCTCGCCATCTATGGTTAGAACGGTCTAGCGTTGTTTTCAACTCAAAACTCGAATTGCACTGCCCTATAGTTAGCAGCATCTGTAAGGTGAGTGCTTTGCAACCTTGCGGATTAACTTTTTGTGGAACTAGCGGTCTATTATTTATTATCCTTTTGGCCTCTACCAGGGCCGTTAGTAACACTTCGTCGGTCACTTGTTTTTGCACTGAGGAGTGCCGTCAGCATTCTCTTTATTATCTTAATCAGCCCTTCCCAAACGCTACCTCTATGGCTGACGTTAGGAGAGTTTAAAGTGCCACTGTACCACGTCGTTCAGGAGATGATTATGTATTTTATCCTGAGACGAAAATCGCAAACAAGCCCGTAGTTCACTAGCCGCTCCGACAAAATTCGATCAATTATCACTGAATTGTGTTTGCTTCTGCGATCCATGAACCGGTCCATCGCCATGATGAATGATTCCGTTGAGTATGAGTGCGCTACCTCTAGATTTTCTGCTCTCATGGTCATGTAGTTGAAGATGGATTCGTATCTTTTCTCCACGGACCGGCTCCGCTTAGTATAAAATGGTCCGAAATAGTCTAGACCAATCGAGTGCAATGGTGGCAATTGGCTACTCATTCTATTTATAAGCAATGAAGCCATTATCTGACACCCTGGCTTACCCAGTTGCCTACAACAATGAATGCATTTGCCCTCTTCACTGCTGTACCACCTTTGGTTATACAGAACCGCTTTCTAATTTCAGATAACACGTGTTCGGGCCCTGAATGATCTTCCTTCTCATGACAGTGACATATGAGAAGTTTGGTTAAATGGTGTCTTGGGGGCAGGGTGTCTTGCGTCATGGGGCAAGTGCGCGTATTGCAGTCTACCACCAACTCGAAGCATGCCATTTACTACAATTGGATACAATTCAGGTAGGGGGCTACCCCTGTGCACGTGCCCCTTAGGGTCCATTAGCGAAACCTGATCGTCTGAGAACGATTCTGCCTAAAATAGATTCACAACATTGTCGCACGCAAGCTCAATCTCTTATGTCGAAAGTCTACCCTCCAGTAGTGACAAGGTACCTATCTTTCCAAACATTACGTTGATATATTGTGTGAAGCGCCTCAACCAAGCTGTTACTCGTAACAGCTTATACAATTGCGAATGATAAGAAAGTAAATTGACGCTCATCGCGACAGTTGTTTGGTTGATAGTCACTGTGCACTTGAGCTCAATCTGCCCTTCGATTTCTTCAGTGAAGACCAATTTGAATGAAAGAATCTCCTCGGAGCTTCTCAGGAATGGCGGCCCACGGAGCCCACTTTCTAATTTCTGGTCATCCACCTTCAGACCGCGAGTGCTCTGGTCTGCAGGATTAATTGTTCCCTTCACATGGAACCATTGCTGAGTTGTTGAGCTTTCATGTATTACAGCCAATCGTTTGGCTATAAATGTGCTATAACGAGCTGATCTGTTGTTTATGCAATAAAGTACAATTGTTAAATCAGTCCAGTAGAATATAGACCCCTTTGAAATATCCAACTCTCGGCTTAGTGTATCACATAACTTAATCGCTACAACGGCCCCCACCAGCTCTAGTCTAGG